GAGGCGGGACTGGGGGGGCAGCAGCTTCCCTTTGGAACTGGCTGGAGGGGTGGTGCAGGTCTGGGGTGGGCTCCCCTGAAGCTCATGGCATGAAAGTGGCCTCGCTTGTGTCCTTTGACCTAGGAAGTGGATAGTGATGAGGAATGGCAGCATCTGATCGAGGCCACGGACCCCTCCACCATGCAGCTGAGCACACCCCTGAGCCTTCTGGGGGACCTGGCCTTCGTGCAGCGCATCCGGGCCCGGCTGCAGGACTCCAGCCAGCAGGTGAGTGGAGGCAGCCAGGGGTGTGAGCCGGGGGTAGAGGTGCGGGCAGAGAGCCAGGGGTGTGAGCTGGGGGTTGAGGTGCGGGCAGAGAGCCAGGGGTGTGAGCTGGGGGTTGAGGTGCGGGCAGAGAGCCAGGGGTGTGAGCTGGGGGTTGAGGTGCGGGCAGAGAGCCAGGGGTGTGAGCTGGGGGTTGAGGTGCGGGCAGAGAGCCAGGGGTGTGAGCTGGGGGTTGAGGTGCGGGCAGAGAGCCAGGGGTGTGAGCCGGGGGTAGAGGTGCGGGCAGAGAGCCAGGGGTGTGAGCTGGGGGTTGAGGTGCGGGCAGAGAGCCGGGGGCAGCACGAGGCTGCAGTTGGTTCCTTGTTCCCAGCTTGTTATTCCAGGAAGGACTCAGGGCAGGGGATCGTCGGCCGGGCTACTTTGCAGGACCCTGGGAGAGTCCCCGCTCTGTGCATCAGTTTCCCCACCTGCACATGGGATTATGATCCCAACTCTTCCGTAATACGCCTGGGGCACAGCTCAGAGCAAGGCAAGGAGGCCTTCCCCTCCCTGGCTTGGTGACCCTGGGGAAACCTCTGGATCCCTCCCAGTCAAGGGAGGACAGTCCTCGGTCCCCAGGGATCTGAGCTCTCCTGTTCGGTGGATCCCTGCTTTCCCCGCATCCCTGAGGTATCCCTGCCTCCTTTCCTGTGGGCATGAGGGAGCCCTGTGGCTGGCAGAGGCCACTGCTGGGTGCCCACATCCAGCCGTGCTGCCATCTCAGATCCCAGGCCCCTTCTCTGCCCTCTCCGTGGCCAGGTGCTGGAGGGGATGCTGGAGGGAGCCTCTCATCTCCGCCCTGCCCTCCGCGTCGTGGGCAACCTGCTGGCCACCAGGTGCGACTCGGAGCTTCTCTGCCGCTTCTGCCAGGCCACGGATTTACCTGCCTTCCTGCTGCGCCTGGCCGGGCAAATCCTGGAGAGCACCAGCAGCATGCAGGTGGGTGCGGGGAGCCTGGCTGTGCTCGTGCCTGGGGTGTGTCGCCCCTAGAGGTTGCTGCATCGTCACCGCGCAGGACCTTCCGTAGCCCCGCCCCTTGTGAGCCCGGCCGAGGGGGCGGGGCCTGGCGCACCGTTGCTCAGATCAGCTTGGCTACTAGCCAGCGAGAGCACAGCTCCCTGGCACATGGTTTCTTTTCTGCTCCCGCAGCAGCCCTGGTGCACCACGCTGCTGGCAGACCTCGTTGGCGTGACGACGGCCTATTTCACCAGCGACTCCCATCGGGGGCGGAGCTGGAGAAGGTAGAGTGGCTGCCGGCGGGGTGGGGAATCTCTGAGAGCACAGCCCGGAGTCCCCCCTTCTCACCACCAGCCCCTCGGGCAGGCTCCATCCGTGGGGCACTCTGGGATCAGAGACCCAAACGTGGCCCTTCCAGCTCCCAAAGCCCTTGTGGAGGAGAGGCAGGATCATCATCAGCCCATTGTACAGAGGGGGAAACTGAGGCATGGAGAGGCGTAGCATTGTTTCCAGATCCCACAAGGTAGCAGAGCTGACAAGAGCTCCCACCTCCTGCCTCCCGGACCTGAGCTCTCCCTGCTGGGCTGTGCTGTCTCCACCAGGGCTCACCTGCTTGTTAGCTGGATTCCTGCCTCCCTGCTGTCCTAGCATGAGAACCAGGGCCTTTCTGTCTCCCGCATTCCCCTGTTGCGGCCCTAGAGGGCGCTGCAGAGCTATTGGGCAAAGCAAGCAGAGCTGGGGGGCAGTCAGGCCTGGGGGTCAGAGAGGGAGCGGTCAGGCCCGGGGGTCAGAGCAATGGGTGGGCAGAGGGGGGGTGGTCAGGCCCGGGGGT